GAGACTGTAAATTCCAAAAAGGCAAGCCCCCCCCCATCCAAAAAACAAAAAAAAAAGCTAAAGAGGATAGAGAGAAACACTGTAAACTGATGATATATGGTGGGGATAATAATCAATGTAATGAAACAAGCTACTATATGAATGGTTGAATGTGAAGCTGATGATGTGCCCTGTAAACTTTCACTCAATGCAAAATAAAAACATTTAATTAAAGAAAAAAAAACCCAAACTGTGCTATATACTATGTTTCATTTAAAAAATAATTTTAAATGTAAAAATCATCTGTGGTTCCTTACCCAAATGCACCAAAACATTTGAGTGTATTTCTTTATCTCTTCACATACAAATATTCTTGCAATATAAAGAAAATTTCAAGAAGTACGGAAAGTATATAAAAGGAAAAATAAGTCTCCCTTTACCAGGCCCTATCCCCAGAGGCCAATTATCAGTATGTGAAGAGCTGCTACAGTCTGCTTAATGGCTGTAATGTGTTTTATTCAGGGGAGGTATGCACTGATGCTAGTTATTATTATTTTTTTAATGTTGCTGATTAACAATTCTAATATGTAAATTTTATATTTTTCTAATAGTTGTTGTTGTTGTTGTTGTTGTTACGTGCTGTGGAGTTGGTTCTGACTCATAGCGACCCTGCACAGGGTTTCTGAGGCTGGAAATCTTTACAGGAGCAGAAAGCCTCATCTTTCTCCCATGGAACAGCTGGTAGTTTCGAACTGCTGACCTTGCGGCTCGCAGCCCGATTTGTAACCACTACGCTACCAGAGCTTCTAATAGTAGATCATTTTATTATGAATTGTGTTTCTTGTTTTCCATTATAATATGTTCTTATGTGTTTTTATTCTCTGTGCTGTTGTTAAATGCTATCGAGTTCTGACTCATAACAACCCTGTATAGGGTTTCCAAAGAGTGATTGGTGGGTTTTAACCCCCAACCGTGTTATAGTTAGCAGGCTAATGCTTATACAGTACTACGTGAGGACTCCTTTTACCCTCTACACTTTAAAAAAATTTAGACTAATTATGTATTTCAAAGCAAGGTGGAAACATAGGAAAAGCTGAAAAGAATACCCATATTTATATCACCCTTTTCAGTTTTTTCTTTACAGAATTTTAGAATTTTGTTTCTAAATAAATGGCCAGCAATTTTGTGTCCTGGTTTTTTAAAACATAAATATTTTTTGGAGTCCGGGTGCTGTGGGTTAATGTGTCAGACTGCAAAGCCGTTTGACCTGCAAGTTTGGTGGTTCAAGCTCACTAGCTGCTCCCCGGAAACCCTATACAGGGTCACTATGGGTTGGAATCGACTCGACACCACTTAGCAACAACAACATATATTTTTAATGTACCAAGTCAGTGGAGCACAAACATCAAATGATTCTGAAAGTTTTATGTATTCCCCTGCTGCCCTCTTTGCAGTTCAGCTTTACTCCCAGAGGCAGTTCTAGATCTTTTGGCTATTTCATTCCTTGTCATTTTACAATATAAATTATCGCTTACAGTTCTCAAGTCACATGTATTAAAATTAAAAAAGTTCCAAGGAATATGCAGTGAAAAGGCTTTTTATCTTACCCCTTTTCTGCAGTTTTTTTTTTTTGGAAGCAAACAGCAATTGTCCTTTAATTGAACATTTCTCCTGGTTTTATGTATTCACTCGTCTTTCCTTGATTGCATAGCAGTCATTTAGTGGACATGCTCTACCTCACTAACCAGTCACGTATTGTTGTTGTTATTAAGTGCCGTCGGGTTGGTTCCGAGTCACACTGTCCCTATATAGAGTTTCCAAGGAACAGCTAGCTGGTGGGTTTGAACTGCTGACCTTGTGATTCGTAGTCCAGTGCTGATCTTACAGCGCTAGACCAGAAGTCCGTCCATTCACCTATTATTGGTCAATTATTCTATTTCCCTTGTTTCCCATTTTTAGTTTTACAATGTGAAACCTTGATTGATACATTTACTTTAAAATTGAGTTACTTGCTCCAAAGAGAAAAAGAAAATGTAAATTTTCTTAAATGGAAAATCTTTGCTGGATAGTTCTGTTGAAACATAGCAGTTCTTAAAAGTACTAAGATAAATGCTTCGGAAATGGTCATTGTAATGCCTTATCCTGGCCCAACACAGTACAATAAGTGTTAAATGAATGATTTCTGCAATATAAAAATTTATATTTTTTTAAAGACACCAACTTGAACTTGTTGCCTTTGTTACCTCAGGAGCATTAGATAAGAATTATGGATAAGCTTTAAAGAAACTGGTTTGTTCAACAACCAAACTGAATGTTGCTGATTGCCAGCAGCATTAATAGGGACCGGGGGTATAGAATTTGTATAGCTTTTCTTGCTATTTTAGGGGAAATTCTCTTAATATCAGGATCAGAAATAGCGCCCTAAAGGAGAAAGTCTGTCCTCGTTTGCTTGTTGCTTATATTTTAAAGTGTCTTGTGTTGTTGAGTATTTTCTCATTCTGAGTATTTTGTAGACAGAATTTTCAGTTATTCTGTAATTGTTCTTTTGTTTCCATTTCAGTGCTTAATTTTTTTAGATGATCCTCAGGCTGTCAGTGATATCTTAGAGAAACTGGTAAAGGAAGATAACCTCCTGATGGCCTATCAGATATGTTTTGATTTGTATGAAAGTGCTAGCCAGCAGTTTCTGTCATCTGTGATCCAGAATCTTCGCACTGTTGGTACTCCGATTGCTTCTGTGCCTGGATCCACCAATACTGGTACTGTTCCAGGATCAGAAAAAGACAGGTAATAGTATTTCTCTTTTCTACATCAGAAGTAATACACAAGTTTTGACTTTACTTTGGGAATAGATGGAATATTCACAAAGAATAAATGACTTTAACCATTAGCTTTTGTAGCTGGAAAAAAAAAATTTAACCTTTTGATTGTTTTTGCACTGTTATGTATAGTAGGGAAATATCAAAGAATTGGACCCTACTGGAAAGAAATGTAAGTGATTGTATAGATGGCCTGCCAGATAGCATGTGTGCTTTCTAATCAAGTAAATTAAAACTCTCAGGTAGGGTTCTGGTTGTTCAGTGCTGTTAAGTCAGATCTGGCTCATAGCAACACTGTATAGGGTTTCTGAGGAGTGATTGGCTGGTGGGTTTGAATCACTGACCTTGCAGTTAACAGTCCAGTGCTTATCCTATAGTTCCACACCAGGACTCTTTAGGTATGGTAGGTAGGTGGTTTAGAGTTTAGATATTTGGGTTGGATATAACTACATTTGGAAAGTAAAAACATTCTCAATTTTTTGTGTTTTTATTAGTACTAGATACAGGAAAGGATTCCTGGTGTGGCGCTTTAGGATAAGTACTTGGGCCACAGGGTCAATTTGAACCACAAGGTCTGCAGTTCAAACCCACCAGCGGCTCCTCAGATACCCTTTTCAGGGTTGTTATGAGTCAGAGCTAATTCGATGATGCTTAACAACAAAATGCAGGAAAACCTTATTTTATTGCATTTCACTGTATTGCACTTCAAGATACTGTTTTTTACAAATTAAAGGTTTGTGGGAAATCTGCATTGAGTAAGTCTATTGGAAACATTTTCCCAACAGCGTGTATTCACTATGTGTCTGTTGTATTTTGGTAATTCTCACAGTATTTCAAACTTTTTCTTAATTTTGTTGCACAGAATTAATAGACTGAAGTGTAAACATAACTTTTATATGCACTGGGAAACAAACAAATTCATGTAGTTCACTTTGCTTTATTGTGGTGGTCTGGAACAGAACCCTTACTTGAAGTCTTAAAGGTATCATTGTATTCCTTATTCGATTGGCCTAAAGTGTATTTGATTATAGTTTCAACTTAGGCCATTTTCAAATATGTGTCATGAATGTTTTCTCCTGATCTTTGACTTGTCTTTCATGATTTGTTTGTTTTTTTAAGTTACATTGTGTTTTTGGTGAAAATATATAGCAAATTACCTCACTGAACAATTTTTATACAAATTGGTCTGTGACATTTGTTAAAATTTTCACAATGTGTCATCAGCCTTATTATTTTTATTCTGTATCTAACCTAGCTTCTTTGCTCTCCTTGCCTTCTCATCTTTACTTTTGAGTAAATCGTTGACCATTTGGTCTCATATAGTGAGAGAATAAGGGACTTCCTAGTCATGGGCAGTGTGTTGTTGTTAATGGTTCTTGGCGTCACAGTGAGTCCAAACCTACTTAATGGCAGTGGGTTGAGATTAGTTTGGTTTTGTCATACGCAAGTTTTTTTTTCTTGAAGAAACCCAGCTTTCATTTTTGGAGTTCTAAAAGATTTTTTTTTTTTGCCAACCTTGGGGTTATAAAACCATTCTGTTATACTTTGTCTTAAAAGCTGTGTAGTTTGAGGTTTTCTTTTCAGTCTATGATAGATCTCACTTTTTGTATATGACATGAAGTAGAAGTAAAGTCCCCCCTTCCTGAAATGGATGTAATTGTTATAGCAGTATTTGTGTAAAAGACTTATCTTTTCCCTGTTGTGTGTTTTAGCCTTTTATAAAAACAGTTTATGTTTTGGTGGATTCTGTAGTCTTTTCAATGATGTATTTGTTTTCCTTTTACCTAATACCACTCTATTGCTATTTTTGAAAACAGGTCATGTAAGACCTACAATTTTGTTCTTCCTGTCCCACAAGATTGTTGGACTATATTAGGTCTTTCGCATTTCCAGAAGTCTGTGGGGGTTTTGACTGGGGTTGTCTTGAGTTTCTTCAATTTGGAACAAATTGAAATCCTAAACAGATTGGGTCTTCTTATCCACAAACATAGTGTATTTCTTCATTTATTTAGGTTTTCTTTAATGTTTCTTACTTGTGTTTTGTAGATTTCTGCATAGATGTTTTATATATCTTTCTGTAAATTTATTCAAAAGTAGTTCATATCTTTTGATGCTACTATAAATGGTATTTTTAGTTTTTAGTTTCTGTTTGTTTGTTGCTATAGGTAGTATAGTGGGTTACAAGTCAGACTGCTGCTAATCACAAGATTGGTAGTTTGAAACTACCAGCTCCTCCATAGGAGGAAGATGAGGCTTTCTGCTTCCATAAAGATTTACAGCCTTGGAAACCCTATACAGGGTCGCTATGCGTTGGAACCTACTCCTCAGCACACCGCCACCACCATGTAGAAAAATGCAGTCAATTTTCTATGAGTCCTGCAACTTTACTGAACCATTTAATAGGTCTAATTGTTTAAAAACGTCTTAGGATTTTCTAGTTTCTGAGTTTTCCTTATTCTGGATGTAATATTCTTTCACATCTTGTATCATCTTATTAATATCTTTCACCTCAGTTTGAAATAATTTTTTTTTTCTTTTTATACTGTTATAAGGGACTTTCATCTTTGTCTATAGCTTTGTTGTTGTTAAGTGTCATCAAATACGTTCTGATTCATAGCTACCCTGTATATGGTTTCCGAAGAGAAGATGGTGGATTTGAACTGCCGACCTTGTTGTTTGCAATCTAGTGCTGATCTTACAGTGCTACAATAACGTGTTGTTGTTGCTATGTGCTTGGAGTTGGTTCCGACTCATAGTGACCCTGTACAGGGTTTCCGAGGCTGGAAATCTTTATGGGAGCAGAAAGCCTCAATCTTTCTCCCACAGAACAGCTGGTAGTTTTGAACTGCGGACCTTGCAGTTTGCAGCCTGATTTGTAACCACATGTTTACTGAAATTCATTTTCTTAAACTTTTTTACAAGGGAGGCTCACTTCAGGATGGTTTTTCTAATTTCACTGCTCTCTGACACTTTCTTTGCCGATGTGTTTGTGAAGTCTTCGGTGGTGGTTTACATTCTGAGCTCTTCTGTTTTCTTTTCCATTTTTATTTAGAACTTTTCCTTGTGCCTTCCTTTCCTCTTTCTTTATGTTATTGTTTCTCCTCTCTTAATTTAGTTTCTGGGCTCAGCATTTTGTCCTAGAAGGGAATTTTGGCAGACTCACTCTAGGGCCCTTGGCTCCCTCAGCCTCCGAGACTGCTCTTGTGCTTGACAGTAGTTTGTTTCCATCTGATTTGAGTTTGGGGGGATTTTTGTCACCTGGCTTTGTTGTATTTGTTGTCTGTAGATTTTGTTATTTTAGTTACTTTGTGGTTTTTTTGTGAATATAATGGGGACACTTCAATAACTGTGTTTGCCTTTGTCTTCCTATGGGTCTTTACCATTTTTCAACAGCAGCATGGAGTACCTAAAACATTTTTTCCTTGCAAAATGTTTAATTTGGACCTGGTTCCAATCTATGATGTAAAAAGATTGCCTGGACATTCTATTAAGAAAAGACTTATCAGATTAGTGACTTGGTTTTGTTCATTTTAGCGAGGCGATGGAAACAGAAGAAAAGACAGGCAGTGCACTTGCTGGAAAGACACCAGAAGCGGTGAGTGCTGTACCATCAAGGTTCTCATTTCAGATGTATTCTCTCCAGATAGTGTGAATTTTTGTAGTATTACACAGCTGCCTTTATGAAGGGTTTTATTAAGATTGATACCAAAGTCATTTTATAGAATGGGGTTTTCTGTGAAAAGTAAAACTTAAAATTGACCCTAAGAAAAGCAGCTGTTGTTGTTAAATGCTGCCGAGCCGGTTCCCACTCGTAGCTTGTAGTTCAGACTCCAGAAAAGACCGGGAAGAGATCAGATCTTTAGAGCCTTACTAAAGAATGAACTCTGTCTGAAATAACTCTAAATCATGGAGTGAGAAAGATGTATGACATCGGGACAAGTAAATGACAGTTTTTGTTTAGGGTAGCAAGTTAGTTTTTGTTTAATATTCATGATATATGGGAGTGTGAATAAGTTACAGGTGTGGTCTGTTGAAAATAGATGTATCTTCTATCAGAACTTCTGAGTTCTCATGCTTGTTGGTGTTCTGTACTGTTGAGTTGATTCTGACTCATAGCAACCTTGTAGAGGGTTTCCAAGGCTGTAAATCTTTAAGGGAGCAGAAAGCCTCATCTTTCTCCTGTGGACCAGCTGTTGGGCTCAAACTGCCTTCTGTGTGGTTCACAATCCATTGCTTATCCTACAGCACCGCTTTGTTGTTGTTGTTAGATGCCATTGAGTCTGTTCCAAGTCACAGTGACCCTGAATAGGGTTTCCAAGAAGTGGCTGGTGGGTTTGAACTGCTGACCTTGCAGTTAGCAGTCCATTCCTTATCCTACAGTGCCATACCAAGATCCACAGTGCCTCTTAGATGTATTATATACAAACTGCAACTGTTCTTCACCTGGATGAATGGTTGCTTCATAAATGTTACCATAGCTAAGCTTTGTTGATGATTTGGTATGAAATCATATGTGCATGCATTGATAAAATGTGCTTTTGAATTTTAATTTGAAGTAGGGAATTTCTTGTCTAAAAGTGACCTTTTGTAAAATAATTTTCCTGCATATGATTAGTAATTAGTTATTCTTTCCTAGCTTGAGTTTTAAAAAATGAAATATTAAAATATTTTACATTTAAAGCTAGTTCATTCTGAATTGCATGCTTCCAGCAAGCATGTGATTTATCTTGGTGATAGTGTGCCGTGGAGTCGGTTCCAACTCATAGCGACCCTGCACAGGGTTTCCTTTACAGGAGCAGAAAGCCTCATCTTTCTCCCGTGGACCAGCAGGTAGTTTCGAACTGGTGACCTTGAGGTTAGCAGCCTAGTTTGTAACCACTACACTATCAGTGATTTATCTTAGCAATCTCAAAGAAGTAAATAAATCATTCTTCCTCACAAATGGTAGATGAGCGTTTTTAAATCTTACTATTGAATCTACTTGAGTCCTGGTGTGGCTCTGTAGGATAAGCACTGGGCTGCTAATGCAAGATCCGCTATTCAAATCTACCTGTTGTTCCTTGGAAGCCCTAGGTGTCCAAGAATTGAAAACAGGGTCACTATGAGTTGGAACCAACTAATGACATTTAACATCGACAACCACATTGGGCCTACTTTCAACTCCTACTCTTAAAATGCGAGCTTTGCTTGTAAATGTACTTTAGTCATGTGTATGAGGCTGTGTGAATTTCCCTGGTTTAGGGGTATTGAAATAAAAGTGGATTAATTTTGAATTAGTAGATATCAGTAATACTCATAATGTATTTCCTTTTTTGTGTGGTTTATTTGCTTCACCAGAGCCCAGAGCCCAAGGACCAGACTTTGAAAATGATCAAAATTTTAAGTGGTGAAATGGCTATTGAATTACATCTGCAGTTTTTAATACGAAACAATAACACAGACCTTATGATTCTAAAAAATACAAAGGTAGGAAATTTCTCTCTAATGGAATTTTTTTCTATTTTTAATTTCTTTTCTAATAGAATGCCTTATTCTGTCTGAATGCTTTGTTATATTCTATTCCTAACCAAGGAAATAAAATTTTTTAAAAATAACAATGGGTGAAATGCTTAAAGTTGGTAGAAAAGAAAGGGAGTTAACATTCATTGAGTGCCTGTTTTTGTGTTAGTGTCTTCTTTGAAAGCTTAGTGCATGAATTTTCCCCCTTTAGTTTGATTTCTTTTTATTTTCATGTGTACACTTTTTTAGAGAAAGATCAACCAGTTAGGTTAGTAGCTTAATCAGAATGTTAGTATACAAATGAACTGTAAACTTTTGGAAGGAAGAAACCTTTACCTTGTTATTGCAAATTTTGTTTGACATAATGAGCCTAATCTAATTTTTAAGCATAATTTTTATTTGTGAGCTTCAAAAAATATTTTAATTAAAAAAAAAATTCAACATGAAAAATGTTCTTCCTACCCCTGTCTTTTATTTACCCATTATCTTTCCTGGCATCTTGATACTGTGGTGGCTTGCATGTTGCTGTGATCCTGGACCCTATGCCACTGGTATTTTAAATACTAGCAGGGCTACCTATGGTGTATAGGTTTCAGCTGAACTTTCAGACTAAGACATAAATCAGACTAGGAAGAAGAAGGGGCAGACTACCACTGAGTGTGTAACCACTGACAACCTTATGAATAGCAGTGGAACATTGTCAGATATAGTGCCGGAAGGTTGGAAATCACTCAAAGTACAACTGGGAAAAAGCTGACTCCTCAGAGTAGAATTGACCATAATGATGTGAATGGAGTAAAACTTCATTTACTTATGGGACACAACTCAAAATAGGTGAAAGAGCTACAAATAGCCATGAATCCTCAAAACATGGAATGTATGAAGTATAAATCTAGGAAAACTGAAAGTTGTCAAAAATTAAATAGAACATATATCCTAGACATCAGTGAGCTGAAATGGACGAGACAGTTATGTGGTTTATTATTCTGGGAACAACAATTTGAATAGGAATGACATCACAGTCGTTATCAAAAAGAACATTTCAAAATCTGTCTTGAAGTACAATGCAGTTTGTGATAGAATGATATGCATACACCTATAAGGAAGAATAGTTAATACCATTATTCAGATTTACGCACCAACCACTAAAGCCAGTGATGATGTAATTAAGGAATTCTACCGACTTCTGTCTGAAATTGATCAAACATTCAATCAAGATGCATTGGTAGTTACTGGTGATTGGAATGCAAAAATTGGAAACAGTGGAAGAAATCAGTCATTGGAAAATATGGCGTTGGTGATAGAAATGATGCTGGAGATTGCATGATAGAATTTTGCAAGAGCAATGACTTATAACAAATACCTTTTAAAAACAATGGAAAAGGAGACTATCCACATGGAGTTCACTAGATGTAATGCTCAGGAATCAAACTGACTGCATCTTTGGGAAAAGAGGGTGAAGAAGCTCAATAAAGTCCACGGGAGCCAAAATATGCCCTTAAATATATCCCATCTGAATGTAGTCACCATTACAAGAACAGATTTGATGCATTAGACACTAATGACTGAAGACATAAGAGTTGTGATATGACATCAAGAACATTATAGAGGATAAAGGCAAAAAGCGCATTAAAAAGACAGGAAAGAAAGAAAAGTCCAAAGTGAATGTCAAAAGAGACTATGAAACTTGCACTTGAGCTTAGAGAAGCTTAAGTTAATGGAAGAAATGAGATGGTAAAGGAGCTGATCCGAAAATTTCAAAA